AAGTAGATAGCAGAACAGGGTCCTGGAGAAATAACAAAAAGTTAATGTTTATTGAGAGCTACAAAGAACAGGAGGATATGGAGAGCCATGATTGCCTACGTCCTGAAGGGACACGGCAGATAAAAGTAGTAGTAGTGAGGAAATAGGGTTTGGTGAATTTGACACTTTCAGAACATATCGAATGTAAAAAGGAAAAGGGAAAGTCGTAAGCGAACTTGAGCCAATAGGTAGTGGAACAGCGTGGGTGGGACGCATGTCAAAAATTCAAACGTTATTAAGAGCTACAAGCGATAGGAAGCTGTGAAGAGCCATAATGACCAATGCCTGAGGATACATAGCACATAGCAGAAGGACAATATACATTTACTCATTTAAAATATGAGTTTAAAAAAAGGCTGTATTTCACAGCGAAAAAAAAGGTATATTTTTGATATCTCTCTTTTGTCTCACCAACATAGCAATAAATTAAGCGATATTTGGGGGACCATGAGCCTATGAGAAGAACTAAAACTTCTGATAAATAAGACGAAAGAACTCTTAAAGAATTATCACAGAAAAAAAATGAAGACAACGGCAAGTGAAAAATAAAAATAAAATTTTAATTTAGTAATCAGACGTTTTATTTACCATTTTCTTTCTTGTCTAAGAATAGCATTTTTTAATGCACACAACAAATTGTAATTGAATTCACTTTGATTTCCTTCATTAAAATCAATGAATTAATAATTTATCTCTACTTATGAAATTCTACTTAAGATAAACATGAGAGCGCGGCGTAATGTAGGCATCGTATGTGTTTGTCGACAATATTTTCTTGAAATGTCCCTGCGTCTGTGTTGACCAAAAACAGTTTTGTATAGACGTGACTGAAAAATGTATTTTCGGATGAAAAGAAAGTTCTTTATCGTAAACAATCAATAAAACACCGTATACATGTTTAAATACTTTGTCCTTTCAAGACGTAGATAATTGTGGCAATACCTAAATTTCTTTATTTATTCTCTGTGATCAGTCATGATTCAGAGAAAGCATATCTAAGAAAAATAGTGGAGTGATTTATAGTTGCTTTCTCCATTCTGTGAATTCGGTGTTGTTCTCCTTCTAGGTTGGTGGCTTCTCCAAGCTAAAAAAAAGCCGATTTACCCTGCTATTTAGACTATAGCTGGAATAGTTCTTAGAGCCTTATTTACAAATCACGACAGCTATTAAGATGTGCTTAAATATAATTTTATATTTTTAAGAAAATTATTCAGTATTGTTTAGGTAATAAACATTATATCCTTTTCACCACCACGTCAAATCCAAGAGGTCACCCATCCAGGCTCGAAGTTGCTTAACTTTTTCATTGTTTAGGTATTAAGAACTATAACATAGCACATTTAGCTATATTCTGAAAAAATGAATTTTCGACAATATACGCATTTTTTTACGTATTTAAGGTTATTGTTACAACTTTTATCAAAAACGACCCGGTATGATGAAAAACTACATCAGCGTTCTAGGTAAGACGATAAACTAAGTCCGACAGCAAGGCCTCGGATCAGGAGGTTTGAGGAGCGTGGAAGCATCTCTTAATTGCTTGTGTGCCCAGGTCCACCCTGACCCGAGGTGGTAACACCTGTTAGGGTCCCAGCTATGGGTAAATAGTTGACCCTGCTCCCAAACTAGGGTCAAAACACTATAAAGGTGTAAAAATATGTTTTAATACTAGCAATATTTTTTTTGTAAAAACATTATTACTGACAATGAATTTTTGAAGGAAATGCTCCGGCCTTCTTCAAGTGTTGGAATGTCGAACTGAACCCTTTATTTCTCTCACTGGGGTAGACTGTTCTAGTTCCACGTCTAATGGATGTCAGTTATCAGTTATCTCCTGTTAATTCCCCTCTCCAAGATTTCCGCTACCTTAACCGGGTATTGAACTCACTCTTTGGGTCCTATCACTGGATCTAACCAACGCCTTTATCCACTGTGCCATGTATCCTTGAGGACATCTGTGTATGAATTTCGGGGTATTATAAATCTAATGTCTTCAGCAACATTTTTACCAGTCCTCATATGGTCCACATTTTTTTTTTTTTTTGCTGTTATCATTTTATGTTTTTACCAGATCTCATATTGCAACTTTTGTTGTTATTATCACTTTTCTCTGGCACTCCTTATTACTGGTTCCCATATTGTATTCATTTCAGAGGCCGAAACGTTGTAATAAATATGGCGACAAAGATGAGGACAATAGTCCGAATAATGTAAATAATGTACATAATACCTCATCTCAGAAATATAAACAGATCTAAGTCTCTTCCACGGCAAAACTTGCACCCTCGTGTCATTATCACATTGATTGGGATGGTGGAAATAAAAACAAACATCTTATAGGAACTTTTCCTACTGCTGCAATTCTTAAATAGTGAGAGTTTGAAAGGATAACTTAATTTTTTCCTCAAATATATATATATATATATATATATATATATATATATATATATATGGGATGGAATATATTCCGTTTGAAACAAATATAGGATTTACTTTCCTCTATTCTAAAAAAAAAATGAAAAAACAAAAAAATCACCCGTAAACGGCATTAAATAGATAAAGTCACCGTTGACGATTGGCTATTTTGGTCAATCTCCAATCAATTTAAATGTGATAACGGGGTATATAAAAAAATTCAACACGAAAAGACTTTTTTTAGAGGGTGTTTCAGAGTCTGATCAGATCTGAGGAAATCGAATTGGTGAGGTCAACATGAGGTTTGAAAGTTTGTATGAAACTGCCCAATGATCCATCTCCAGAACATCACTGACGACGCCTCTAGCTGTAAAAAAGAGCGTATATTCAAAGCGATTTTTGGATATTAATCCTAATAATAGTAATAGTAATAATAAAAAAACGTTAAAACGAAATGCTTTATTTAAATATTATAAACCTAATGTCTTCAGCAAGCATTTTTACCAGTCCTCATATTGCAATTTTTTGCTGTTATCACACATGTTTTTACCAGATCTCATATATTAACTTTTGGTGTTATTAACTTTCTCTGGCAAAACAATTACTGGTTCCAATATTGTACAGAAAGGGTGGCAAGACAAACCCCTTCACGCTCAATATTCTGCCTGAACCAAACAAGCTGATGCAGACAAACCCCCTACCACTAGTAGGGCAGGGCAGGGTTAAAAGCTGAAACGAAAGGTTTTATTCTTGTGGCACAGGACCAATGCTTGCTAACAAGAAATTACCAAGCAAACATATTGAAAATTGTATTACGCATAAATGCAGGTTCTGTGATAAATATCCAGAAACAATTCGTCAACTTGTATCAGATTGTACGGTATTGGCACCTGAAACAAAGCATGACACAGTAGGCCAATATCTGCATTAGAAAATCTAAAATTTTTACAGAAAGGAAGCTGCAAGAATCTGATATGAACATCGCCTTGACTGGGTTACAGTGATATGATCTGTACCGTTTTCATGGCACTTTAAAATACACACAGACAGAAGAATCAAAGCTAATCGACTAGACAACGGGATCAAAGACCGCAAAAATAAAATATACCTTCTTATTGTCATGGCAGACTCTGAAAACTGTAATGTATCTTTGAAGATCTTAAAAAAATCTATCAAATTACAAAGAGCTTGAAATCGAACTTTCAAAAATGTGGCACATGAGGACATCAACAACTCCAGTTGTAGTTGGAGCCCTCGGATTGACTTGAAATAGTTCCAATAGAATCATTGAAAGGATTCCTGATTGCCCATGACTTAAATATATACAATAAATTGTACTCATAAGTACAGCCCGCATCTTACGAAGGGATTTATCTATGCAAAATATGTATGACCTTAGGTGTTTTTTCCTCAAAAATGTTGTATGGAAAATATCATGAAGCCATTTCTGATCTTAGGATTCTGGTTGGGACCCAGAAACAAATGAGTATGAAATAATAATAATAATAATAATAGTAACAATTTTATTGAACAATAAACAAGAGAGAACAATCAAAGTTAATCGCAAGGCATCGTGATCAAAGGCCGCAGAAACAGAATGTGCTTTCTTATTGACATGGCAGTCTTTACAGACTGTAATGTTTTAATGAAATCTATAAAAATACAAATATCTTCAAGTAGAAATCGCAGAAATGTGGCACATGGGGAAATGAATAATTCCAGTTGTAATTGGAACCGTCGGATTGATTGGAATGGTTCCGATAGACACATTGAAGGAATTCCTGGAAGTGCATGCAGTAAGGAAAGTACAGCTCGCATATTAAAAAGACATTTATCTATGTAAAATGTGTGTGATCTTTTTTTTAAAACAGTGATCAATGGTAAAAATCATGAAGCCATTTCTGACCTTAATCTCTGGTTGCGATCGGGAAGGAAATGTGCATACAACAGAAATCAAAGGAAGAAATAATAATAATAATAATAATAATAATAATAATAATAATAATAATTTGAATCGAATAAATAAGAGAAAAGCGTCAATCCGGTGATATTCAAATGTTTTGGTCTTCAGGGGCGAGTCAGTCGTGATTTGGGTGAAGAATCTGCTTCCTTGTAGTTTCTTTGGTCCGTCGAGTCATCCCAGTGCCATTTAAAAATGCGTCAACGGCGGCCAAATTATATAAGCGCGCCAAAATAATCTATAGACGACATGTTTGATGATGAGGCCAATTATTCCATTATGCATATTTTCCGGTTGGTGAACCCACATTCCCAAATCTATTCAAGGTTTCCTCCACCATCGAATTTTCAGGGATCTAGTGGTCTTTTATTCGGCTTCATTCCCCCACTCTCTTCTACTTTTCTTATTTCTTCTTTTATGTTACTTTAGTCGCTGTATTTGTGTGTGTGTGTGTGCGCGTGCGCGCGTTGTTGTGGGGGACGTTGTATACTTGCGTATATAACAAAAATTACATTGGTATGCATCCATTCATGTAAATACGTAGATGGATAAGATATGAAAAGAGATAGGTAGATTGATAGGATACGATATGAAAAGAATGAGATAGATAGATAGATAGATAGATAGATAGATAGATAGATAGATAGATATGATACGAAAAGAATGAGATAGTTATATATGAACAGATGGGATAGCTAGCTAGGTAGATAGATAGATAAACAGGACTGGGGCATTGTATGAATAAGTTATATTTGGGCTGCAAGCATTCATCCAAGCATGTTCGATTATAAAAGGAACAACAATATGTTTTTTTTTAAAAATATTTTATGGCAGTTTTACAATTTTCGAATATATATATTTATGCAAAAATTCAATCATTAGTAAAAAATATATCTGTAAAAAAGACAATATGAATAAAGACGAAAGGAAAACTTTTTGTTTCGTCCTCTGAGGTACTTTATTAAAGCAACAGTAAGGATTTCAAGAAGTTTTTACATCTATCTATCTTTTTAGCTAAACTTTTTCTGCTTACAATCGGATCCCTGTTGTTTTCTTAAAATGCCACATGATCAGCAACAATGGTAGAGCAGCTAAGATTTACCAGTTTGAAGGACGACCTATGATTGTTCCATTAACGTTTGAAAGTACCTTCAGTACCTTCTAAGTACGTTTTATTTTGGCTATTAATATCGGTTACTTCTGCTTTATAGATTATTGCTTCGGAAGATTTTTTAAAAAGACGAAGACAACAACCTCAACAACAGGAAAAATTAGCAATGATAACATTTCCGAAGAACCTTTTGAACCAGAAATCCGAAGTCTTGAGTCCTTGCTTACATATTAGTAAATTCCTCTTAAGCATTTATGAGGCCGGATAAGAAAATGTAACTTTAAATTAACTACTTCCACCGATACTTGCTTTTCTTCTCTTCTCTCTTCTTCTTCTTCTCCTTCCTTCTTCACGTCCTCCTCCCCACTTTATATCACACCCAACATCGTACTTTTGTTTATTTATTTGAAAAAAAAATATTATAGAATTCATTAGTTCTTGAAAAAATAAATGAAGTGTTAAGAGGCCATTTGATAAAAATTGCCTGAGGATACCGTAAGGTTGAAACCAAGGTAGCTTACGAACAAAAAATATTTGATACATTTTTTCGTGGATGTGTTTAACTTTAAGAAATCGTTAAACACATTATATCAATTTTTTCTATTCTTTTTCTTTTTTAAACGTTTCAACCCAACTAAGACAATTATCCTCCAACACACAACGTTTACTGAGTGTATAAGAATAAGGAAAGAAAAAAACACTGTTACGGGGCAAGAACAAGGTGAATCAAGAAGACAGTAGAAAATAACTGATGTTCTTTGACGCTCAAAGTTGACTGGAAATTCTAAAAGCGGAAGAGGATTGCAGGTCTTCTCTAAATATATAGAAAGACCACCAGATCGTTTTTGGCAGCAATATTTGAAACATGGACAAATGGTAGACTTATAAATATATAAGATAGATTCTGGAGAGAACAATTGTCTAGTACAGCAGAGTGAACCAACTTTGTTAGCAGCTATTCTAGCAACTGATTCAGTGTAATTATTTAACTTCATGTCACCTGAGAACGTTAACCCGAGAAGGCGCAACGGGTCGCTCTAGTAGAGTTTAGCATCAGCCATGCTTATAGAAAATAGAAACGGGTCTCTCAGATGATTAATAGTGAGTAATTTTGTTTTGGAGCCGTTAAAATTAACAGGCCATTCCTTGCTCCAATTAACAGCAGATTGTAGGTGACTTTTGAGGGCACGTCCCAACAGATCAAACTTTCTATTAAGACAGTACTAAATTTATTTCTATATTTAGGGTTGTAAGATCAAATGTTTTGTGACATACGATGGCCGTTAATATTCAAGTATAACTCAAGACTCAATGAAACAGTATTTAATTAATACCGCAAAGAAATATTTATCAGTAACAAAGAAGTCAACTAAAGATAATTAACCATTTCAGTAAATAATTTGTTAGTAGCGCAGCTCGGCTTAACGTCCGGTAAATCCTAAATCAAAACCCAAATTGTCGATGCACAATAATTCACACTAATTCGACTAGATAGTTCCACTCAATAGTCATAGAATAATCACTCAATAATCACTAAGTGTATAAATAGCGGTGTCAGGCTACTGACACCGCTATTTATACACTTAGCGTAAAACATATATTTTTAAGTCTAGAGTGTCACGTTCGAACCTCAGTGTCGATAGTTGCTCATTTCGTTCCTATACTAATATAGGACAAGAATATATCGCAATATTTATAATATATTCTCAAACATATTCCTATAATTAAGATAAAAAATAGAGGAAAAAAACAAGCGAAATATTTTCTAGTTGTCGTGTCACTAATTCACACTAATTCGACTGGATAGTTCCACTCAGTAGTCACTCAATAATCTCTGCAGTCAGTAGAATGACACCGATATTTATACAACTGGTGGAAAACATATATTCATTAGTACAGAGTGTCACGTTTGAACCTCGATGTCCGTAGTTACTCATTTTCTTTCTATGTAACAAAATGAAATGAAAAGGAGGGATTTGTCGAAAATACAACGCACTGATTAGCAGTAATACATCAACCCCCCGAAGAAAAACTGACAATGTCCAACATCAAGTCTGCTACGGGAGAGCAACCACACATGGAGTTCTAACTATAAAGTGATTGAACTAAAGAAAAACTCATAGAAAATATTTTTTGGATCATGTTACCCCAAGAAAGGTTACTAAGACACCAGGGATCACTGAGGGTGAAAGAAAATGACAAGACTTTAGTGAGACGAAAGAAAATTATTCAAGAATACAGAAGATGGTGATGGATCCTGCAATAAAAAAAAAAAAAAAAACTTTGAAGATCATAGGTGACAGAGAAGCAAAAAACTGGGTGAGAGTTCCACAGGCGAGGTAAGCGAGAAAAGAAACTATTAGAATAGAAATTACGATAACCCGTAGCTATTTCAACGGTAAAAAGATGAGGGTACGTTTTATCTCGTCAGTCAGTTAAGTGCCATACGTGATACACGCTTGGGCGATCATATATCTTTTTGATACATGATTGACGAGGCGAATTTTTTCCCGCAGTAGGGTACCATTTCTTTCTGTAGTAGACTGGTTGCCAACCAAGGCTTAAGAACCCAGTCTGTCCTGCTATTTAACCCTTAGTTGGGAGAAGAGATGGATCCCAAGGGTATTTGTACGTAAGTGAATTTAACGAATTCGAGTGAAATTCGAACTCGGTTCTCCGAGTTCGCACTCCCAGTCGATATCTATTACACCACAACGCTCAATCTAATCTAGTAGCACGCTTAAATTCATTAAACCAGAGTACCAAGTAGAAGAGCTCGAATTTTCCATCCAAAATCTTTCGAACATTGACTAAACGAGTCCTATTGTTTGAATCAGAAACTTTGGACATTATCTCTTCGTCTTGAAAGACGACTGGATGAAACATATCTAAAGCTACTTAGAAAAATCCAGATCATCAGTTGAAGATCCCATGCAACACTTAACACAATTTACGGAGAATCTGTCTTAAGCACAAACAAAAACGATTTACAGTTTGTCGGCCATTGCCACCGAGCGGACAGAGATATCGTCTCATCCTTACTCCGTTGGCTTCCTTCCGGAAGTGTCTTCTCACGAAAACTGACTTTCCCTGACACCATACCTCGGAACTCAGAGTTGGACATTAAGGATTTTGGGATTGAAATGCAGGACCAAACAATGGGAAAAGGATTTGTCAATGAAGTTCCGACCAACCATAGAGAGGTCGAAGGATGATGATGATGATGAGGGGGAGGAGGAGGAGGAGGAGGAGGCGGAGAGCTCATTAGAACATTTGCCATGAAAATATTTATAGAAAATACAGATGGAAGCGACATTATGGCGAGACGAGATGCCAGATCAGGACCGATTACATGACAAATCCTTCTTTGGAAATAGCTAAAGGCTTACAACGTAACACCCGTGGAAATGAGGTTCCTAGATGAAAACTAAGTGATCCTTTACAAACCGCATAAATCATTTTGAATCTTGAAGGTGAGGACCATGCAGCTCCAGCCGGGCAATTCTACAATTTTAGTCTAGTCTGATTCTTGTAAAGATAAAAGCATATCAGAAGGACACAGGTACTCTCAAAAGAATAGCCATAGGCTTGCAACATTCTGTCCGCATGTAAAAGGGCGGCAGATTTAAGACTGCATAAATGATTTTGAACCACACATAGAAACACAGGCAGAAATTAGAAAAAATCAAAGTCCAGTTTGCACATTGTTCTATATTCTGCGCCGTCTGAGTCAGATAGATGTGCTACTTGAGGACAGATTTTGTTATTTGTACATAACGAAATGTGTTTTCGAATCAAAAGAATGGTCTCGTTGTTTAATGTTTCCTAAATATGGTTATATCAATAAATAATTATAAAAATGTTTTAGTAATAAGTTTATTATGAATACGTGTATTTAATTACGCCAATATTAATAGAATACATTGGATATTTGACAATGATATTAAATAATTCATCTATTCATTTTTTTATAACAAAAACAGAAATAAAGAGAAAATACTGTCAAAAATTTGACGACCCAGAAAATACAAAACGAAAAGTAACGCCATATTAGGCGAATAAGAAAGAGATTCAGAGCGAGAGAGGGTTTAGAGAGGATGAGGAAGATGGAGGGAGGGAAGATATGGGAATAGAGAGCCGGGAAATAGAGAGGTAGAGTGAGGGAAAGTGGGAAGAGTGTGAGTTAGATCGGGGAATTAGAGAGGTGACAAAGATGAAATGAAAGAGAGGTATGAGTGTGAAATGACAGAAGAAGAGATAGAGAGAAGGACAAAGAGAGAGAGAGAGAGAGAGAGAGAGGAAAAGGGCATTGAGATAGGTAAGAAAAGAAAGGGAGATAAGCAGAGAAGGATGGAAAGAGGTAGAAAAGGTGTATGGAAGATAGAGAAAGGAGTACAAACAGTGGGAGGTAGCGAGTGTGAGAAACACGGAAAGAGTGAGAGGGAAAGAGTGAGAGGGAAAGAGTGAGAGGGAAAAGAAGCAGGGAAATAAAGAGGGTGGGGATAAAGCGATAGTGTAAGTTTAAATGGAGTGTGATAGAGTTTTAAAAAATGGAAAGAAAACATCTTCAAACAATTTCTTATGAAGTCAAATACGCATAAAAAAATCGATAATTTTTTTTCTTCATTATTAGAACAAATAGAAAAAAATTTTAATGAAAATTTTGATTGTCAGGCTTTTAAGTTCATATTCCTATTCATTTGTTTTTTATGGATTCAATTCTTCTATTGTTTCTTTAAAGTTTTCCTTAAATTGATGTTTCAAAGAAATTCAGGTAGAAAATTTAGTCAAGCGTTGCTAACAACATAAGAAAGAATGAAAAAAAAAATGGTGACAAATGAATTTTTAAAGAAAAAAAAGTCAGTCTATATCTCTGAGATAAGATATTATGATTATTTAAATTATTTACATTATTCAGTCTGTTATCCTCATCTTCATTGCCATATTCACAACGTTTCTGTCATTTCTGTCCGGCCTTCTTCAGGTGATTGGAATTTTTCTTCAATACCTGTCTATATCTCTGAGATAAGGTATTATGATTACTTACATTATTCATCCTCTTTTTCATTGCCACATTCACAACGTTTCGGCCGTTGCATGCTCCAGCCTTCTTCAGGTGACTGGAATTTCGAACTGAACCCTTTATTTCGTCCACCGGGATAGATTGTTCTAATTCCACGTGCCATGCCTCTTCCGGTTATTATTTCCCTTTAACTGCTGTAGCCTGGCATGTGTCCTGAAGCACCCATGGCTCAATGCATAAAGGCGTTGATTAGATCCAATGACAAGACCCAAAGAGATGTGAGTTCAATACAGCAGTGGTGAACAAAAAACAAAAAGGAAATAAGTGAGACATCCGGAAGAGGCATGGCACGTGGAACTAGAAAATCGATGCGATGGATAGATTGCCATCTAAATGACGCAAAAATGAAAATAAAACTGACATCTCATTTTAACATATATTTTTCCCAAAATTACACAAAAATATCGTGAAATTTATTCAATAAAATCGCCATTAGCCTCAATCACGGCCTGCAGACAACTTAGGAATCTCCTGCAACACTTGTGGACGATCTCCTTGTTTAAGATGGTGAATGCTGTCATAAACCTTACCTTCAGTTCATCTTTGTTGTTACAAGGAATTTTGATGGTCTCTCGCTCAACTACTCCCAACACATAATAATCTAGGGGGTTGCAGCCTGGGGAGGTAAGTGGCTAGATGTAAGGGAGTTATATAGTCGCAGAAATTGTCTGACAGCTCGGACTGTGTTCTTTTGCTTGTGTGGCATGAGGCAGCTTCATGTTGCTCGACATAGATTCTTCCAGCAGCCACCCTCTTGACACAAGGCAGCACTACCTCCTCAAGGTACTTGCTGTAGGCGTTCGAGTTGAGTTTCATGCCCTGTGAGAAGATGAATGGAGGCATAATATCGCCATTACTAGAGACCCCCTGTAATCACCATTAGACTCATCTAACTCTTTCCGAATCCTCCGCACTCTCCTCGGATTGACACAAACACCCTAAAATGTTCATATTGAAACTTCAGGCCTAATGTCGAACAGTACAGCATGCCGTTTCCAGATTTCTGGCTGAGTTAATTGCGTCATAGTGCTCTTTTCCTCACTGATGGTGCCCATTTGATTCTTCTATACTTGTGTAGTCGACAAAATCAAAAACAAACAACGGGCATGCGCGAAATTAAAAAATGGCGACAATTTACCTATCGCACCCTGTATATCTTACCAACATGTTTTTTTTTAATCATTACACTATATCCAAGGCAGTAAAACCAGTAAAAAGACACAAGGGTTACTGAGAGTCAAAGAATAAGAAAAAAAGAGAAACTTGTTTAAGGAACGAGAACACTAGAAGACATTGCGTTTAATTTTTTGAAACTTTCGAAAACCATGGAGCCAATCCCACAAGCGAGAAGTGCGAGAAAAGAAAGTGTTAACGTAGAACTTACAGTTACATCTAGCCAATTCAACTGTAAATTGATGAGACATTGTTGCCATTCCAGTTACTGCTTCATAAAGTCTAGGTAACAATCGCAGAGATTTCATCTGAACAATTACCATGAAAGTATTTATAGAAAAGGCACAGGGAAGCTACAATATGGCGGTTGGAAAGTGAATGAAAACTAAACTCCACGCTAGGACCAAAAATATTGCTGATTATTCTTTAGATTTTATCCAGCTTCTCTGAATATATAACAGGAGCACCGGACCATATATGGCAGCAATATTTTTTATCCAGTTCACTCCAAACAAGGCAGTAAAGCCACTATTTGGGGGTGGAATAATTAGAAAACAAAAACATTACCAGGGAATGAGAACAAAATGAATCACCATCAGGAAGACAGTAGATATCGATTGACATCGCATTTACATTTTTTGAAGATTAAAGCTGGCCAGAAAACCTGAAGACGGAAGAGAGTTCCGCATGTGCGATAGAAGATACTGTTAGCATAGAACTTACGGTTACATCTAGCAATTTCAACTGTAAAATGATGAGACCTAATCGCCAATCCAGTACTGCACTTAAATTCATGGATTCTAGATAGTACAGCGGAGAGTAATATTTATTGTTATCATACAGAAATGGGGCACAAGGCCAAAAGTGAGGACAGAGGAAGGCTGGTCTTCAATCTGTTGAAGAATTAGAAAACAGAAACATCTCAAGAGAGCGAGAAAAAATGAAGCGCCCTCAGGAGGACAGCAGATAGCAATTGGCATTGCATTTGCATTTTTGAAGTTTAAAGCTGATTGGAAAGCCTGGAGACGGAAAACAGTTTCACAAGCAGCAAGTGCGAGAAAAGAAACTGTTAGCATAGAACTTACGGTTACATCTACCCAACAAAACCAACTCAACTTAAATTCATAAAACCTTGGTACCATAGCGAAGAACTCATCCGAACTGTTGTCATGTAAATTTATTTATAAAAAATGATACGGAGGCAACTTCACAAAGATACTGATTGAAGCCGAGACGCCAGATCAGGACCAATAATATAGCTGATTCTTTAGATTTCGCATGGACAAATGGTAGGCTTAAAAATATGTAATATAGCTTCTGAAGAGAAAAATTGTCTAACACAGCACAGGGAGTCAACTTTCTTAGCAGTTGAATAAGCAATGGATACAATATAGTCTTTCCCCTTCATGTCCGCCAAGAACGAGTCATTCTCCTGGAGGTTAGCATCAGTCATGCTGGTAGTAGGCAGAAAGGGGTCTTTCAGATGCTTAATAGAGAGCAGTTCAGTTTTGGAGGCGTTCAAATGAACAAGCCATTCTTTGCCCCAGTTAACAACAGACCAAAGGTTATCTTTGATATCAGCCACCCATTTGCTATCATCTGACTGATCAGACTTATTATAAGACAGGTGTAAATAGAACTTCTGTTTATATCTAGCCATTTCAACTGTACAATTATGAGACCTTGGCACAAATCGAGCAGTGGGCTTAAATTCATAAAGAGAATATGAGAAAGATAAAATGATCAATAAAAGAACAAGTATTAAAAAGACAGAAGATAACGATTGATACTATATTTTAATTTTTGAAGCTCAAAGTTGACTAGGAAGAAAGAATCCGTCATAGAGTTCCACATACGAGTACTGCGAAGGAAGAAACTGCTAGCATAAAACTTACGGTTACATCAAGCAATTTTAACTGTAAAATGATGAGAGCTTGCTGCTAATATAATACTGTGCTTAAATTATAAAAGTCTACCTACCGTAGAGGAAAGCACTATTTATTTTTAAAAAATACAAAAATGTGGCACAAGGCCAAAAGTGCGGATAAAGGAAGACTGGTCTTCAATCTGTCTTATCTTAAACTTACAGTAACTGATGCAAACATACAATAGTATTATTTACAAAGAAACAAGACATTTTTAATAAGCATTTTTGCTACAGTCACCAAAATACCTCAGAGTCTCTATGAAGTCATAACTTGTTCATATATGTACAATTTTTGTCAGTTGGTGGAAGTGGTGTAAAAACTAAGCATAGAGAAAAGTCATATTTATTTGCATGATAATACAAAATGTAGCCCAAGGTCAAAGCGGGGAATGGCGAAAAGGAAACTTAGCTAGCCACAAACACTGACCCAAACAGCAATATTTCTTCAACCAAAACAACGTATTCATGCTTACGATTCTTAATACATTCACCGTAATACCTCATGGTCTCCATGAAAGTCTTGACTAAACCCCATATGTACAATTCATTGTTTATTGGGACGGGAATAAAACAACAAAAGCGAAGAATGATATTTATTTGTAAATATGTGACATAACGCCAAAATGTGGAAAAGGACGGTCTTCTTTCTTAACTAATAACTTAGATAGCTACAAACACTGTCCGAAACATAACACCAAAACAAGGCATTCTTATTTACCTTTCTTACTATATCCACCATAATAACTAAATTGTCTCTATCAATGTCCTAACTAATCCTCATATGGACAATTCATTGTCTGTGTGGAAGGAAAATAAAATAACAATGGAGGCAAGTTCATCAGAACAATAACCATACAAATATTTATAGAAAAGACACAGAAAAAGTATGTTCCGACATGCATTCATACCCGAAAGTGTTCTGCAAAAATAGGGTTCATTTGTATGAAAGAAATTTCCATACTTATTTTTTTGTAAAAATTCTGCTTACTGTATTTTTTTTTATTTCAAAGATTTCAATAACAAATTCCTCACAAGATAATCGTCTTCATTTTCTGTTTGGCAATTCGCTTTATGGACAAAACGTACATATTGATCTCTGCGTCTAACAAGTCGAGGCGTATCATAATTCTCTTAATATTGATTTTTTGTGACTGGACCCAGCCAGTTAGTCAAAACGAATTATCGAAAAGTCTGCAAGTGAAACTTCATGTCAGTTTAATAAAGAATACATCGAAACGCTTTTGTTAGCGTGAAAGGTACTATTGTGTACGATATTTTTTTAAAAGAACCTTTGAAATATTGCGTGAGTAATTCTATATTCGATGCGCAATACCCAAGAAATGTTTATGTGTTTATACCTATTATTGTAAGTAATTCTATTTAATTTTAAATAACTTTAAAACCAAGATGATCAAAGTGTTGCAGCTGTTCAATAATCTGACCTCACTCGAACAGCTTAATGACATTAAGGTCTGAGATACAGTATGTAACTATATACATTATTTACATCAATCGGATTATTGTCCTCATCTTCGTTGCCATATTAACGATGTTTCGGCCGTTGTACGCTCGAGACTTCTTCAGGATCTGTCTATATTCCTGAGATGAGGTATTTTAACTATTTACACTATTTACATCCTTCGGATTGTTGTCCTCATCTTTATTGCCATATCCATGACGTTTCGGTCGTTGTACGCTCCGGCCTTCTTCAGGAACTGCCTATATTTCTGGGATGACGTATTATAACTATTTACACTATTTACAGCCTTCGGAATGTTGTCCTCATCTTTATTGCCATACGCAAGACGTTTCGGTCATTTTCCGCTACGGACTTCTTCATGATTTGTCTATATTTCTCAGATGAGACATTGTAACTATTTACACTATTTACATCTTTCGGATTGTTGTCCTCATCTTTATTGCCATACTCACGACGTTTCGGTCATTATACCCAACGGACTTCTTCATGATTTCTCAGATGTGATAATGTAACTATTTACACTATTTACGTCATTCGGACTGTTGTCCTCATCTTTATTGTCATAGTCACGACGTTTCGGTCATTATACGATCCGGACATCTTCATGATCTGTATATTTCTGAGATGAGATATTGTAACTATTTACACTATTTAAATCATTCGGGCTGTTGTGCTAATCTTTATTGCCATATTCACGACGTTTTTGCCGTTGTATGCTCCGACCTTCTTCAGGTGATATACGCTGAAATTTCGAACCGATCCCTTTATTTAGTCCACGGTGTTAGATTGTTCTAATTCCACGTGCCATGCCCTTTTTGATACTTAATTCCCTTTAGTAACTCAACTCTCCAAGTTTTGGTTCCCACAACTCTTTCGGCCAAGTTGGATTTATTCAACCAACACTTTTTATCTTCTGTTCCATGTGTACTTGGAGGACGCATCTAGCCCTGTGGATAAAATAAAGAGTACGGTTCAAACTTCCAATGTATATAAGGGCGGAGCATATAATGGCTGAAACATCGTGAATATCGCAATAGATGAGGGCAGCAATCCAAATAGTTACAATGATGTAAATAGTGTAAACAGAAAGATGTCATGTTCAATAATCCAAAAAATAGTCTGGTATCGTTAAACCATCACCGATCAAATCTTGACTTTTCCGATAAACGGTTGCCATCTCAATGGGGATCTTGATTTAAACGTCTGTTGAGTTTCAAGTCATCATTCCAGACATCTTCATAATTCCAGGCATCGTCATCATTCAAGGCATCACATCGTACTCATATATGCTAATTGTTGTGTCCTGTTTAGAGGCCAGAAAGAAAGACGCGGAAGACGAAGGTAGGTTGAAAAAGTATATTGAAGATATATACAAACCAATAGTGTTAGTAATAAGTAGATTAGTACTGCGTCTACTACTCCACTTCCCTTCTACTATCCAACTCTCGCAGTTTGTATTTATGAGAGGAGGAAGAATTCATTCTACTGTAGAAAGGTTTACCACCAACACAAATGATGCTGGCAAAATGGCCGACCCATGTCATCGCTCTCCGAAGATCTTGACATCTTCCGCATCGTTTTATCTTTACAAGAGTCAGATTAGTCCAGAAAATAGAGTATTTTTAGTTGATTTATTTAACAGCATATCAACTCCTTATAGGTCATTTAAGGCCGAAATTTAGCTTTGAAGTAATAAAAATATGATATATGTTATTCTGCTTTCACAATTGAATACATGGTAGATGACACTCAGATTTTGTGCATATACATGTTTGTGTGGACATAATTACTAGAGGCGGTGATATGTGTGTTTTAATTTTAAGTTCGTTAAATTATTACAGCCAATTGTTGACGTTATATTTTGAATTCTTTAAGAAATTGTAGGATATTATATGGATTAATATTATGAAAGTGTCCTTTCATGTTGATTGTATTGTTGATAATTTTCTCTTGTCTTCTTGCCTTCAACATGTCCGTGTTAAATTTTCGAAACCTTTTCTCCTTATTGAGTGCCCAAAGGTTTTTCATTTTTCTCTTTTGGAATCTAAGTATAAGTGTCATTTTAATTTCTATTTTCTCTAAAACTTCGTCATCGCTCTGTTGTTCAGTCTATGGTATTCTCAGCATCCTTCTGTAGAACAACATTTCTGTTGCCTCATATATCTTCTGCATATATGTGGAGGTTGTCCAGCATTCACCGCTATATAGTTTTTTATTTGTTTCTTTACCAGCATATCAACATCTTCGTGGGTCATTTAATACCGAAAATTAATGTCCTTGTGAGCTTTGAAGTAATAAAAAATACGGTATGTTATTCTGCTTTCACAGTTGAATACATGGTAGATGACACTCAACTTTTGGGCATATACATGTTTGTGTAGACATAATTACTATAGGCGGTGATATGTGTGTTTTAAATTTGGGTCCGTTAAGTTATTTTTGAAATACAGTTTGATTTAAGAAATGGTGAGATATATGGATTAATGTCATGAAAGGTTTCTTTCATGCTGATTGTTTGGTTGGTTGATTTTGTTTAGCGGCATATCAACACTTCTATGGGTTATCTAATGCCAAAATCTAATCTAAAAATCTATTTGGCAGGTAATTTTATGGCTTCAACTAAATATAAAATGTATTGTTGCTCATATCTATTGCGGGTCTGTTTTTTTATATAAAAATACATTGCTGGTATTTTTACAATTAAAATGTATTCTTATACTTACATAATTATTTTGTTTGGAGGAGGGAACACTATTTGCCCATAGCTGGAACCCTAACTTGTGCAATACCCCGGGTAAGGGTGGACCTGGGAACAACAGCAGTTAAGAGGGCGTTCCACGCTCCTCAAAACCTCCAATCTCCCGGTCAGAGGCCTTGCTGCAAGATGTAGTTTATCGTCATACCCAGGTCTATTGTAGCCATAACTTCTTCTAAAAATAGTTGAGGAAAATTCCAAGCTAACCGAACGAAAAATAACAAAACATGTATAATCAATAAAATTCAGCAACTTTGAGTCTGCTCAATACTTAAAAAGGAATCAGTGGCAACATATGGCAAATGCCCGGATGAGCTTTTTTTTTCTGCTGGTGCCAGACTACATGAATTTAAGCTCACCATTTGATTGGCTACTAGGTCTCTGTTTTACTGTTGAACTATCTAGATTTAACCACTACTTCTATTCTAACGGTTTCTTTTGTCGCACATCTCACATGTGGAACTCGCTTCCAATTTGTTGCTTCTCTGAAAATTGGAATATTTAAATTCAACGTCAGTCGCCATCTTCTGTCTTCTTGAATTCTGTTCCTTTTACTCCTTTCCTCAATCCTCCCCATTTTCAATCTTCACATTCTCTTCCACTTTCACTCAGCACTTCTTACTTCATTCGGCTTACATTCATACAACAACCTTATTTAGTAAGCCTCTAACTTGAGTGGCCCTTGGGCCTTATATTGGGTGAACTATTATTAAAAAGCTGTAAGCTTGGATGAGCAGGTGGTATGTCTTACGGTCATATCACACTGAAACACAGGTTCCCGTGCAATCGCCGAAGTTAAGCAAGGTCGTGCCTGGTCAGTATGGGTAAGGGCTTGGGAATAGCAATTGCTGTAAGTTTGGAAGCGCGGGTGGTGTAATGGATAATGGATCGAATTGTTAATCAGAGAGCCGAGTTCCAATTCCCGCTTTGTTCGCTATATCCACTTACGCGCAAATACTCTTGGGAAAGATATACATCTCCATATTCTCCTCCCAACTATGAATTAATTAGTATGAATTGTATCAGTAAAACATTATTATCTCCAAAAAATAATTACAATCTAAAAATGATTTTTGCTTTAAAATATCATGGAAAGGGTTGATAAGTCGTAAAAAATAATCAAATGCTGATTAGCAACAAAGCCATGCCTTTTAGATTTATTTCCATTCTGTTGATTGTGTTATGGTGTAACAGATATCGGCTCGTAATGAGAAATCAAAGAACCGAGTTCGAATCCCAGTCGAATCCCATCTCTTCTCCCTCCATCTATGGATTGAATAGATAGACGGGGCTCTATAGCTATGGTTGGCAACCAGTCTATAACAGAAAGAAACACCAACGTACTGCGGGAATATCTTCTGCCTAGTCAGTCAGGAATCGAACAAAATATGATCGCCCAAGCGTGTATCACTTATGGAATATGACAGAATTTTTCTCTTCTCCCTCCAGCTAAGGGTTGAATTACAGGACAGATTCGGCGTTATAACCTTGTTTGCAAACAATTTAGAGCAGAAAGCGACGGCACCCCACTGCGGGAAAACCTTTTGCCTCGTCAGTCATGAATCGAAAGAGACATGATCGCCCGAACGTTTGTTCCGGGTGGCACTTGATTGTCTATATCTTTTCTCACTCCTGCTATGGGTTGAATAACAGGAAAGACAGGTTTCTAAAGTCTTGGGTTACAGCCAGTCTACCGCAGAAAAAAAAAACGGCAACCAACTGCGGGAAAACCTTTTGCCTTGTCAGTCATGAATCGAAAGAGACATGATCGCCCGAACGTTTGTCCCGGGTGGCACTTGATTGTCTATATCTTTTCTCCCTCCTGCTATGGGTTGAATAACAGGAAAGACAGGTTTCTAAAGTCTTGGGTTACAGCCAGTCTACCACAGAAAAAAACGGCAACCAACTGCGGGAAAATCTTCTGCCTAGTCAGTCATGAATCGAACGAGATATGATCGCCCAATCCAACTATCGCTTATAGCGCTTGACTGAATTTATTTCTTCTCCCTCCAGCTATGGCTAGAATAGCAGTACAGACTGAGTCCTATACCTTGGTTGGTGACCAGCCTACCGCAGAAAGAAACGGCAACCTACTGCGGGAATATCTTCTGCTTATTCAGTCACGGATCGAAGCATGCGTTATCGCTCAAGCGTGTATCACATATGACAAATGATTGATTTTATCTCTTCTCTCTCCAGCTATGGGTTGAATAGCAGGACAGACGGGGTTCTATAGCTTTGGTTGTCACCCAGTCTACCTCAGAAAGAATTCGCGGGAAAATCTTTAAATGTTCTCGTTCAAAATGCCTTGAACCAGCACAGAAGAGTAAACTCATAAACTTAACATGAGAATAAGGCCTCATGTTGATGCGCTGTTTTCAATAAACGGAGTAAGCATTGTTCTCGGGCATAGAAATGTATAGAATTTACCGTGACCACGAAGTAAAGGATCAGATTATATATTGATTGTTATATAGAATTCATCCCCCACTTTATATCGAGATTATAATTCTTGTATGTTTATTAGATTCCGATTAGATATGAATCCACTTCTTCTCCTCCAGCTATGGGTTAATGAGTAAGACTTGTATCAGTAAATCATTATAATCTAAAAAAATATCCTTTCTGAAAATATTTTCTGGCCTGAAATAATCTGTAAAGGGTTTATAAGCCGTAGAAAACGAATCAATCAACCGATTAAATATTGATTAGCAATAAAGGCATGACTTAGATTTATTTACATACTGTGAATACGTATTGTGGTTAAATGGAAAAACGTGTTCGAATTCTAGTCGAGATTGTTACATTTACTTAGGTGCAAATACCCAAATCTCACAATCTAAAAATATTTTCTAGTTTAATTAACATGGAAAGGGTTGATAAACCGTAGGTCATCAAATTAATCCCAGGGTTTTACTTTCTGCTCATCAATGGGGTGCTGACTTGCTCGCTAAGCTTTGCTAGGTAGAAACACCACCCGTGATCAAAAAGGAATTCCGTATAATGATATCCAACGAAAATGATAATGTTTAGCACACAATAAAAACAGTGAATGCATCACTAAACAAGGACAACACCAAATAACCGTTATGCTCTGGATTTTGGATGTACCGTCTATTATGAATTAAAATGAAAGGCTGCATGCGGAGAAATAATGCCATCTAAAGTATTGCACAAAAATTTGCAAGAAAGTCGTATTTCCCTTAGACGAAAATGCAAAGCCATATATTGCCCGTGTCACACAGGAAAAGATTCTGGCACTAAATATGAAAATTTTCTCTCATCCTCCTTTATATCCGAACATTGCTCCATCTGGCTATCATCTTTTCTCTTCGTTTCTTACTCCTTTCCATTTTTTTTTTTGGTTTACGGTTTTGAGCCACCATTAATCACCATTCATGATGTGAGCGGTGAAAGCGATCTTGACACCATTTTTCATAAGAGGTATTCAGCTAAGAAGAGGGTAGGTTAAAACTATTTTAACTGTCACCCAGAATGAGTAATTGTGAGAGGAAAAAGATCATTCAAGGCTTCAGTAATGGTAGCAACATTCTTACTCAGGCTTCCATTTTCAAAGTCTATTCAAGTACCATCAACAGAAGGATAAGTTTCAAAATGTGGGAACAGTAGGGAAGAAAACAGGATCAGGAGGTCACAACAGGAAAAGGGATCATCATTTCAACTTACAGCTTAGGAGATAAATTAGAAAAGATCCAACTCAATTCATATGACCTTTGGCACGTGAAAGAATAGTTTCAGCGATGACAGTGAAAAAAGACTTGAAAATGAAATCGTACGAGAAACATGTGAGGCAAATTATTACTCCAGGACAGAAAATTAGAAGATTAGAGTGGGCAAAGATCATCATGAATTAGTCTGAAAATGACCCTGGAATAATATATATATATATATATATATATATATATATATATATATATGGACTTTATTTCAATCGTTCATGACCTTCCGACCCTTAGGTATAATTAACTAATGATGAACATATTTTCGTTTATGCTCCAATTCACCACGATTCTTCTTTTAAGCTTGGAGAGTAATTATACATTCTTATTTCTCAAAGTAGACTTCAATAGTCTTAGAAAAATCTCGGAGCATTCCAGTGATATATCTTTAATCATTTCTAAGATAAAACGGTTCAGATTTTAATCTAACAATTGGATAATTTTGCTGTTACACACAGCGTATATATATATATATATATATATATATATATATATATATATATATATATATATATATACGTTGATGTGAGTTTGTGACCCTTTTTTCACACCCTTTTGGATTTTCAAAAGGTTTGTCGGACGATCGCAAAATGCGTGAAACGGAGGATCACAAAATTACAACAACGCATATAAATGTTTTAGCCCTATCACTGATATATAGGAATTGCATATATATATATATATATATATATATATATATATATATATATATAACAAGGAAACTCTTTGAAATTGAGGGACGAAATACTCAGACATCTGATAAAAAATGTAAATGTTTGAAATTTCAGCGTTCCAATATTTTCAGCTTTTCTTAATAATAATAATAATAACAAGCAGTTGTGTTTTGATATTACCGCCTCACTTTCCTACACATAATTCCATCAACAAAACAATTACTTTATTCCGGTGAAGTCATAAATAAGAAAGGAAATGCTGTTTAAGACAAGGGACCCCAGCGCTTTGTTGGATAATTTTACGATCTTCACTCGCGAGTGGAATCCGAATTGCACAAAGCTTGAAAGAAGAAAGTTATTTGATTTGGCACATTTCTATAAATTATTTGTGAAGTGTGAGCACAAAATGTCCTTCCTGGTGTAATTAAGCCATTTTCAGCAAAAGAAGAAGCCCAAGACCTCTTTTATTTCAATGTTATCCAACCATATTTTGTTTATAGGCAACATTATGTTGATTGTCATAAGTAATTTTATTCAATTTTTCCCGCTTTACTCACGATTCTGCTATTGTTTGATGTCACGTTGATTGGGCCAAAGTGGATTATCTTAATTCAAAAATCGATGATGTACAAAAATAGAAAACGTTCAAATTTAAATTAAAATTTTAAATTTTAAAAAAAGCGAAGAACTATGGATGCTCTCCTTTTGTGTTAAGTTGAATTCATTAGAGGCTAAGACAAGTAAATATGGCGAATGCAGGTGTCGCTGGATATGTACGTTTGTATGAAAAGCGTTTTATTAACACAAAGAAGGACGGACTAACGATAAGAATTAAGGCAGATATATATATATATATATATATATATATATATATATATAAGTATATGATTGGTGTATACGGAATAAATTCCAATAACCAACAATTCCTATTCTTAAAAGAGTGCTCAACCGTGATAGATAGATAGATAGATAGATAGATAGATAGATAGATAGATAGATAGATAGATAATGAATACACCGTGATATATAACATGTGCTCGAGGGCTTGAGCGTGCTGGACTTGTTCAAATTTTTGATCACGCCTGATAACACACTCTTTCCCAGAAACTGTAACTAAGGTCTGCTCACCATAGTTGCAGTACAAACCGTAGGTGAGCTCAGTGGGTGTTGAATAAACACAAATGCGCCTGAGCAAGCGTCTACAATGGGGATTGGCTAGCCACCCTAGTAGACCGGTATCCTTGAATACGAGTGGCCAGCTATAGAGATGTATGTATATAGTGAAGCTGTACAACAGACAACGATCTGGAATACTTATGTTTTAAAATTTTATTTTATTTTATTTTATTTCATATAGATTTGTGGCGAACGCGCGTCAGTACAGACACCAAAGAGGCCTGGGATCTCATGCGGATAAGTTTGTCAACATCAGTCACATCT